GGCCAGATGACAAAAGTGTCATCCACGTACCTCTTCCATAAGGTTGGGCGCAGAGTGGCAGTCTGGATGGCGTCAGTCTCAAATTTCTCCATGAAAATGTTAGCTATAACTGGAGAAAGGGGGGAGCCCATTGGGGTGCCCTCAGTTTGTTTGTAGAAAGTTCCATTCCAAGTGAAGTATGTATTGGTTAAACAGTGTCTCACCAGGGGGGGTACCTCAGTGTTTAGTCCTTGATGAACCAAGTCTTCAATGATTGCAATGGTGTCAGGTACAGGAACCTTGGTGAATAAGTTGCCTCTGTGGTAGTAGTTACATTGGAGAAACCAAACGCCATGTCTCGGACCGCATTCGTGAACACAAAGCAGACCTTAAACACGGTAGGACCAACACCTCGGCCGTAGCAGATCATTGTTCTAATTCAGTAGGCTCACATGCCATTGACTTTTCCAAGACAGAGGTTCTTTGTAAGCCATCTGGCTTCCATGAGAGATTCGTTCATGAGGCTATCCACATATACAAGCACAGAGACAATTTCAACCGAGAAGATGGATTCTATCTTAGCAATCATTGGAAAGATTTGATAAACCATTTCAGTTCTTAATTGATTGTTCACGCTTACAGTGGCTTTCAGACAGCATACATTATAAAAAATTTCGTCTCCCCCCTCCTCTTTTCAGAATATAGATAGACTAGTCCTGGGTAAACTGCCAAATCGCTGCGCGTGGCGCTAACGTTTTTTATAACTAAATAAATGCGCCGTTTAAAAATAAATTTATGCAAACCAACACACCTGAAGATGACCGTTTGAGTTATGGTCGAAACGTCGTGAGAATTTTTTTATTGTTTTATATATATTTTATTATTTTGTTGCTTCTCTTCAACGTGACTTTACCGAAAAAACTAAGAATATGTCTCTAATACACAAGGATTTACGCTAGGCACTATATTTGGCAAAACAATAGTAGTTCGTGAAATCACGTTTTCAACTTACAATTACTGTCATAAAATAACAATTTACCCATTTTTGTATTACTCACGGAATTTGTACAAGAAGCGCATGAACCAAAGGATGGTCAGTTCATAAACCGGTAAATTAAAAATTAATAAATACCTCTGCTGGCTGGTATTGGGTCAACTTTGTAGAACTCCAAACTGAAGCCATATTCTGAAACAGGAAATGAGAAGAATTTTGCGTGAATATCGTGTACAGTACAAAACCTAACACAGTTATAACCGAGTCAGATGTCTTAGCAAGCAGCAACAACATCGCGTACAGTACAAAAACAGTTATAACCGAGTTTAACACGGAGGCTTTTGCGACCAATATCCATAAGAGGTTTTTTGGGTTAGATCGCGTAAATATATAAATGTGTCGTTAAAACCCACCACCACCCAACACAGCCAACTAGTAAGGGTTGTCACGTAAACAGAACATGCCAATTCGTCAAGAGAACAGCACAGCGGTGTGTTGGAGAGCCAAGCCACAATATTTACAATCTGAGTATGACGTTTCGCTAGCTTCATCAGGCGACAGCCAGATTTGTGGAGAAGTCTAAATGTTTCGTTCCTTATATAGAGGCGTAGATGTGGTGATCACACTTATGCGCTCTTGCGCAAAGTGGGGGGTGGAGAATTATGAGTCAACGTACATCATGCATGTGCATTATGAGAGCCCTTTCATCTTGTCCTTCCTGTCCATTCTGTGTATTAAAATAGCTGTACCAACGGTAATCCCTATTGAAATATGGTGCCCTTTATTAGGCATGCATTTAAATAATGTATTATTTGATGATTCTCTTCTACGCAGTACTAAGGAGGTAGCTATCTGAGCGGTTACAATTATTTACAATTCTTTCAATTTCGAAAGATTATCTAATTACTCTTGGCCAGTAGTAGCTGGTTTTGCACAGAAGTTCAACATTTTCAAAATCAATTGAGTGTCCTTGTTGGCACGCATATTCTGCTACTGCTGACAGTTGTATTTGGGAGTATTTAATATTTCTCTGATGTTCTTTTCGTCTCGTGCTGATCATTCATCCTGTTTGCCCAACATAACATTTGCCACATGTGTGTTTGCCCAACATAACATTTGCCAGGTATTTGGACACATTAGGG